ATGAGAGTCGCAGGGGTGGTGGGGGGGGAGGGTGGGCATTCCCCAGTTTTGGCCTCAACAGGCTTGTGCTGTCGATCTTTTTGTGGTCATGAGTCTTAAGAATTTCCTTATAGATGAGCATGGCTGGACAAGTGCATTCTTAAGTCAGACATCCTTCAGCAAAAGCTTGTTAACAGGCAATCTCTGCTGTTCTTCATTAGCCAATTATATTATTAGGGTGCTTCTCCAAAAAGTTTGGCATTGTATTTCTCAACGTGTTTGTCCTTTGAATAATATTGCAGTACACCTTGGGTTTGTCTCTGCTTTATTCAAACATGTCGTCTGAAATGGCTCAGCTCCTTAAAGATGATCAAAAGAAGTACGTGCCACATGAGAGGAAAGCAGATGGTGATCTCTCATTTGTCGTACCAATTTTCTTTGACGGGGATGCTCTCACAGGTTAGACTTTCGTACAAAGTGATTTTTCCATCACTAAGCCATGGTCTAATAGTCTGGGTGTCTTGCAACAAAATGTAATTTGATGAACTTGAGCAATTCCATGAAAGAGACACTAGAATAATTATTTTTTACCTAGACTGTTGTTTTTCACTGAAGAAGTTTTGATGGAAACCTTTTATGGCATACTGTATGCTTTTACTTTTAATAGCTTACAAATGCTTTTATGAACTAAGGCCTAACCCAGATCTGCCATTCAGTAATTTCACTGTTTATAAATAAATGTTTATTATTACTTGAATGTATATATTTTCTTTATTGTTAAAGAGGAAAGAGCCAGGAATGTTCAATGGGCATTTGTTGACGGGGATGATGCCATTGATTGCCTCAAAGGGCTAGACCCAAGCCACACAGATTGGCATGCAAAAGTTACTCTTTATGAAGTGAGTTGGTAGATTTCGGGCCTACATGAACTTCATACACATACAAACACTTGAAGTGATTGAAGGTTAAGTCGACACTTTTTAATTATTGCTATTTTTGGGTAGGTGGACAATAAAATTTTTTTCAGTAACAATTCTTCGGGTGAAGTTGGGAGCATGTGTGCTTGCTTCAATGAACAGGACAGGAAAAACAAACGCCAAGAAGGGACCTAAAGTGGACTTTAATGCCTACAAGGACTTCCACGACCGAGAAATTGAAGCCCACATTATTGCCTCGTTTATGGAATTTGCTGGAATGAAATCTGTACAAGGTGATAATACATGTATTTTGAGCAGTAATTATTATTTGTCCTCAGCCATTTGTGTTGAACGGGTTTGGAATTTAAAAAAAAATTAAACTGTGTGCTCAAATTTTGTCTTTTTAAACTTGTACCTTGGACTAGATAAAAATAATTAAGAAAAACATTTTACTTATTCGGAATTCAGAAAAGCTATAGCTTAAAGGTGTTCTTGGAAAAATATTATGAAAAAATATGTGCAAATTACAAATTTAAAATTTAATTGCAGATAAGCCGACAAAGTGTACAGTTCCACAATCCTGGCAGTCCAAAGAAGACAAAAAGGCATGGCTTTTTAACCAGATCGTATAGTACCTGGAGCAGTTTGTGTTTAATGCAAGCACTCTCCCTGACATTACAGAACAAGTTCAACATCTGGAGAAGAATGAGAAGGATGAATACCGATGTCGAGCAGCAGGATGTGAGCGCACTTACGTCCTCTACTCAGGTAGAGTCAGGTATGTTAATGTATAACATGATTTGACTTTAATCCACTGTTTTTTGCAACAGCTAGTCACTAAACGTCACAGTGTTTAGCTTTCCCTCATGTTACATTGATCAAAACACTCTTCTTTTTAATGTGTAGGAGTAAGACGTAGGACCATTTGACTTTTTTCATGTGATGGTAATCACTCAAACAAAACATAATTGTGTTTCATCAAAATAGGATAACTGAATAATTTTTCAATAGGCATGAGATTGAGGCCCATCCTGAACTTGTTATTCAAGACAATGATCCTTCGGCACCACTAGACTCAGAAGGTTATTACAGATGCAGAGGAAACTGTGGTCTGGTGTATAAAACTAAAGCCACAAAAAACAGGTAAGTAATTATTACTTAGTGTGATATAAGGTCTACACAAGACAAAACAAAGGCTCCTGTAATGTTTAAATGTTGCCATTTCTGGAACTATAATTTTACTAAAAATGTAAGCTTCTCTTAAGTGACAAAATGCAACACCTTACATGTTTTTAGTACATAAATGAAATGATAAGTTCACCTGCTAACACTCATAATTTCACCAATTAACAATTATTTTGTGGTTGTTGACATAAAAAGGAGTCCCATCCCTACTTTCATATGTAGTGAGGATATATACTGCAAGGTCCAATATGTTTGTTTAGCATGGGGATAAGTTCACCCACTAACAATAATGTTACAAACTACTTTTTTCTGGGTTAGACATGAGAAGCAAACCCATCCTGACTTGCGAGCTACATGCACTAGCAACCCTGAGACTGGCCATGTTATAAATTCTGCAGAATAGAAAAAGGAAGACCATTTCTTTAACTATCACAAAGCCAAGCTGACATATGGACTCTTGTTGTCAGATTTTGGAGATGCCATTAGAGAGGGGGATGGACAAAGACTGCTGATTTTTTCTTGTTATGGTCATACAAAGTATGCATATGTGACTCTGCTTTTGTTGGTGCGTGTTCATGCCATACTAAATCAATCTGAAGCATTTAGCCTTATGTCCAACCGCTTTTGTAACACTTCAGGAAGAATAGGTAGGAATATTCCCCTTGATTTACGGTTAGAGCATCTAAACAATTTGCTGAAAGCCTGCTTGAAAGCTCTTGGGGCAAATGTCAATGAAGAAAGTGCTCAGAGGATAGCAGCTGCATTAAACGGAATCGAAATGATCCTCAACTCTGTGGACAAAGATTGTAGATGTACAGTGCCATCCAAAGTTCACGGTGGGAAAGGTCATGAAGAGTCAGTGTTGCAGATTGTGTCTGATCTCATCAGTATCAATGCTTTTTGCAAGTGCCCTCAACGAGATGGTTATTCTGGCTTTGCCAGGTTGAATGCTAACATAATTTCTCAGTTGGATTATGCACAATTTTATCACTGGGTAAGGGATAAGTTGAAAATATGCAAGGGAATCTATAGTCAAGGGCAGTAAACCCCATCTTAGAAATTGCCAGATAAATCAGCGAGCACATTCATGCAAATTCCTTTATAAGGCAAAAGTCCCTTTGTTAAGAAATCCTGAATCAGCACAAATGTGTTGTCAGATTATGACAAACATTAGAATGGTAGGAATATCCCAAAATGTAAATATGGTCTTTTTTGGGATTTCTGTGTGAAATCTCCCCCCCCCCCCCAAAAAAGACCTATCAGTGACAGAATAGATTGAAATGCCAGCTAGGTAATAGTTCCATTATCTTTTAATTAGATGAAATTGGACATGCTTATAAGACATGCCCATAGTTTTTATTTAGTTAATCTAAATAATGATGTAAAATGACGAGGAATAATATATAACTGAAATAAACGTTGTACATAGAAAAGCAGCAAATTGAATAATGGTAAGAACAAGTGAAAATGAATTGGCACAGGCATCCTATGTTGGTGCAAATAAGTAATCACCTGCAAAATTAAGTTTTTCAAAAATACTTGACTGAATGCAAATAAAAGCTAGGCAATTTAGACTCTCTAGTTTGTGAACCGCTGTCTGTTATTATTTACATGTATTGGTTGAGAACATAGGTACTATCAGGGCTGTCACTATGTGGCCAATGTCTAAAAACTGCAAGCAGTCCCTGTTGCCAGTGGGCAAGTGACAGCAAACTAAACGGAACTGCAGACCTCAGGTGAGGCAAGAGGCAAAAGGTAACCCACATGGCAATCCTGAAGGACTTCTTACAGTTTTAGTCTTAAATAAGTAATAAGAATGAAAAGAACCTATGAGCTATATGGACCTACAAGTTTTCCAGTTCATGAGAATTATATTCCTCTGATTCACTTTCTGAAGAAGAGAATGTCTCAAAGGTAAGCTCCTTTTCTCTGGGATTGTCAAAGAAATTGAACAAATCTTCAGGCAAAGCCTGCATGATCTCCTCGAAGCAGGCTATGTCCTCAAAGGTTTCTTGAAATATTTCTAGAACCATCTTTGCATGAACAATGTTAAATACCTGAAACCTCTTTAAAATGTCAGAAACTGAAAATATCGAGGAAGCTTCTGCCACAAGCTCTTGATAAGCTCAGTGGAAAATCCATGAGCACTAGAAGATCCAAACAATGACAATGTGGGACCATTCAAATTGCTCTGCAACTCAGTTAAGGCTTCATGCAGAACATTGCGATCCTCAGCATTTACAGTTCTCTGGGTTGTAATAGTGCACTTTGATTGCAAAGGAAATGCCTCTCGCTTGCACTCACCCCCGCCACATAAACACTTCTTCTCACAGTCGCTACAGCAGTCATACAGACATGTTAAACTTTCCACAGCAGCATACTCTTCAAATAAGGCCTTGTGTATGCAAGTGTCTGTCTTACAGAACGTTTTGACTGCCTTATCACATTGTGAGAGTTGATTGCCGTGATAAACGATCACATTGTGTGCAGGTTTTCCATTACGACCTGCCTGTCCTGCTTCCTGAATGTGATCGACTGTACTCCGTGCAGGACCAATGTGTATGACAAATTTTACATCTGGGAAGTTGACCCCCATACTTAACGCAGAGGTTGCAACCACAACCTTAACACAGCCACTATCTTGCTTGAAGGAATCAGTTACTCTAACCTTGTACGTTGGCCAAGTCATGGAATGATAGATTCCAAGCAGTCGGTTCGCTGGCACACAAGGCTTGTCATTAACATAGGCATCAGCACCAAGCATTCCAAGAAGGTGACCACTCAATTTGGCCACATCTTGCATTGTAGTACAAAAAATTATGGTTTTGGGCATATTTTCCCTTTCCAATCGAATCATGTCAATTAACCACTGAAGATGTTGGAGATGATTTTGTCTTTTTGTTTTTATGATGGTGAAAC